CCGGGCCGTGGTGAAATTGTCAAGCGTTGACCGGTCCGCAGTGATAAAAAGGTTGGGGACCACTGGTATAGATGATGGATAGATGTCGTTTATCTGCACTGTTTTAACAGCAAACCAGTCTTGTTTTAAACCAATTTCTCATATCATGTCATGGATTGATTTTGTTTAGAAGAAATAGTGGTGGAGACACACAAGTGCTTTACTACACTGATGTAGGAAATGTTAGGTAAACACATCACTGACTGAGATTGGTGTATGCAGGGCTGTGACATCAGATCCTTGGTATTTATTACTCTACTCCATGTGAGCTGGGTGACTGAGCTGTAGTGTAAGACGGCAGAATGGGGATGGAACCCCTTTTTCAGAGCTCTGAAACATCATCACATCAGAGTCACATCAGTGGTAATGATACAGCCTATAATGCTAAACAAACTTCTATAGGTATTAATTCATTTTTGAAGTATAAAAATTTAATCTGGGAGTAGCCAGGAAAGACAAGACATCAGTTTCAAATGTACAATGCAAGCTAAAAAAAAACAAGGTCACTTTGTTTTGAATGTTTTTGAACTGACAGTAATCCATGAGAAGGACTCTTCAATCACAGCTTGAGTGCTTTGTGTAAAAATTTGGCCTCAGTGCTGTCGCTCTCCATCCAGTCACCAGATGACCCCAGTTTTTAGTGTTCATAGTTATTTTTACATTTGAGTTTAAAAGCAAAGGAAAAATGAAAATGTGATCACTTTTGCTTTTATTAATATGATGAATATGCGTCTCCCATATCTTTTTGGTTTGCAGTATATTAAGGCTTTCTACAATAAGACCTGGATTGAGAGATATGGGGATCCTATTGGAGCGGAGACAGCCACTCTCCTCTGGTCCATCACGGTGTCCATATTTGCTATTGGAGGCCTTCTTGGAGCGTTGTCCGTCTCTTTACTCATCAAAGTGTTTGGGAGGTGAGTTGACTCATTGATGCATGTATCATGACAATATTTTACAACTGGTCCTGAAAATAAAACGCCTTTGGCTTTTGCCCTTCCTGGTTTGATAAAAGATGTGGCAACATTAAAGAAGACAAAGTGATCATGAAGACAAAAAAAGTTTTTCAGGCACTTTTAGGCAGAGCAAGCCTTTATTTGGTCAGGCATATTGGTTGAAACCGGTTTTAAAAGAAAAACACATCTGGTGTTCTTTATAGACAGTACTCCAGAAGTAACAATTTTGCAAACGTAAAAGAAAAACACATCTGGTGTTCTTTGTAGACAGTAACAATTTTGCAAACACAATGTGACATCAAAGCATTAATATCATAAAAAGAGAAAAGGGAACTCATCAAAACATTCAAAGTCTTATCATGCAAAAATACCATGGGCCAATCAGTAAGGATAATTACAGTATCCAAGGCGCTTAGAATCTAATCTCAAGTGACTGTTCACATTTCAAGGTCAACCTTTATCTGACATATGACATATGCTGTATACTTTTCATTGCCTGGCTGAAGCTGCAGTGTTCCCTCTTTTGTAACTTAGGAGACAATGTTCTTTCATTTATGACATGATGTACTTTCTTCCTCCTCTCTCTGACAGTGTCTCTGAGTGACTGTCCACAGTGTCAGCTCAGTGAAGGAAATGTAGGAGTTCACACTCTATATAGGCTTTTGCCATTATGCAGCAGAGTGATTTTCTCAATGGGACTCCCTTTGAGATTTGATAGCATACTGTAGATTTACTTGAAACGTTTCCCATTGTATTCTACAGCCGTGCACCGCTCACTGCTCCTACCAACTATACAGGAAGATATATATGTTAACCGATCAGTATACTGTAATTTCAATACATTTTGTCCTGAAAAAATGTCCCTTTTATGAATGTTCAGTTCAGATTCACAACTTTGAAGCTGTATTTGTGGTTTTAAATGTTTAAGTAAAGACTGAGCATTTTACTGAATCTCAATTTTTCTTTATAATTTGTTCAAATAATTGACTATTTCAATTTCCTATGCATACAACCCCCCACCTGTTTTTCCTTTATTATTTTATCTTTTTATGAATTTGTTTTTTAGTGTGTTTGCTTGTTTCTGGCACTGTCAGTCAGATCTGTTTAAACCTGAAGAAGCAGATCAGCTGAATTTTGACTGGTAAACTCTTAAATAATAGCTAGCAAACTTACAAACTGCTGCCATCCCTTTCTTCATCTCATCTGAATGTTCTGTGAATGCAACAGCTGGTTGTATAATGTAGCAGCAGTAATGAAGTTTGATAATTAAATATGAAAATGACCCATATTTCTATTTTAAACAGATATGGTTACAACTCTCCACACATTGCCTCCCTGGGTGTAAATGTTGGGGAGTTGGAAATAAAGTGATTTACTTCAGTCTCAGTGGTTTGACAACCTATTCTGCTATGTGATATCCAATGTCACAGCCGGTGTGATTTGCTTCTTAGGTTTCAGCCTAGGATTGCTGTTTCACCGCCTTGGTGCGGCGTCTACCCCTCAGAGAGCGACTCTGGCACTGACAACCTCAGTGCTGTGAAATAAGACACACACACTTGACAAATGAAAGGAAAAAACAACTTTAAGAGTCTGAGTAAAGTGTTTGGCCACCGTATGTCATTAGAACCGTTTCAGCGCACCTTGGCATTGACTCTACAAGTTTCTGAACTCTACTGGAGGAATGAACACCATTCTTCCAAAAGACATTCCTTCATTTGGTGGTTTGATGATGGTGGTGGAGATGCTGTCTAGCACATCGCTCCAAAATCTGTAATAGGAGTCCAACTGGGTTGTGATCTAGTGACCATGAAGACCATGAAGACCATTGCATACACTGATCAGCCATAACATTATGACCACCTGCTAAATACTGTGTACATAGGAGTCAGTAGGCAGTTGGCTGGCACTCATGTCACTCTGCAGCTCACATGTGATCTTCCCACTCTAGGTCTGATATCACCACTACAGCTGTTGTACAGTATTTCTCATTTTCATTCATTTTAACAAAGAATGGAATTTTTGGAAAAGGATGAATGACATAAATGCTTAGTCTAAAGTAGTTCAACCTCATCATCAGAGAGCTTTGGGCATCCATGACCCTGTCGCTGGTTCACTGTTTGTCCTTAGACACTGTTGGTAGGTACTGACCACTTCAGACAGGAACACCCAACAAGACCTGCAGGCCCAGTCGTCAACCATCACAGTTTGGCCTTTGTCAGAGTCACTCAGATCCTTATGTTTGCCCATTTGTCCTGCTTCCAACACACCAACTTTGAGGACTGAATAATTACTTTCCTGCGAATATACCCCACACACTGACAGGTGTCACTGTAAAAGGATAATGAATGTTATTCATCTGTCAGTGGTCATAATGTTATGGCTGATTGGTGTATGATTCACATCATTTTCATACTCATCAAACATTTCAGTGATCCTTCATGTGCCATATGGATGGGAGACACTGTCATTCTGGAAGAAACCACTAAATTATTCAGCTTTTTCCTTTGATTTGTTACCCGTCTCTGTCTGCTTTGCTAAATGACCTTTCCCAATGTTAGAAAGTGATGTAACTGCTTTAAACTGAGTATTAAAGGAACTTTTGATGATGCCAATATTCCAGAATGTTTAAAAATATACATTATATGTAGAATGACAGTACAACAACCCATTTGGTGAGCTTTTATTGGGTCTTGCTCTTGTGGTGGTTATATTTATTTATATCATCTTGTTGGCTCATAAACAGACCTGTGCGTTATGTTTGCACATTTCCTTCAGATTAGCAGAAGCATGCTTTACCTTTCTCACAAAAACGCAGACATTAAAAAAGGACAAGCAAGAAAAAACAGAGATATGTTCAATATAATCTATAATGTACAAGTAATGAGGATGTTGCTTTGGGGCAGGGAAAGACTTACAAAGCTTTTATTCAGGATCTTTTGAGAAAGTAAAGAGTCCCTTAAGATTCATCTTAGATTTTTCACACTCTAAACTGAAGCATACTGCTCATTCTCCATCCATATTCTCTGCTAGCTTTGGGCCGGCTGCTCCTTTTCCACAATGTCTCAGAAAGGTTGAAATTGAGATGTCAGGGAGAAGAGCGGAATACATATTAGCAGACGAGGACACATGGAGCAATCTAAAAGAAAAGTGCTTCAGAGGGTGACAAAGTGGTTCATTAAAATGTTGCCAGTGAAGTTAAGGTAAATGTTTTTTGCTTGTGATGTTTGAATATTTGAACACATTTTTCACAATGAAAAGATGGTATAAGGACACTTGTATAAATGTATTTACTGGGGAAAAAGGTTAAAACACCACCACAGACATTGTGTGCCTATCAAATTCTGTCCACCAGAGCAGTTGGGTTTACAGGGACGGGGCAGTGGAACCAGCTAATTACCAAGTTTATAGTCCAAACAAACTAAACCATCAGGAAAGCTTAAAGCTGCCTTTTGATAGTTCACCACAAAATACTTCACATATGTAGTACAGTATGCTATAGCAGTTGTACAGTGATTATGTCTTTAAAGAAAAAGAGTAATATTTTTAAGTTGTCCAGCACATAAACCACCAATAAAAAAGAGAAATGAAGTTTAGTTTTGTTTACACTTTGGTGTTTTTAGGATTTAACAAACAAGATACAGTCTAATATATTCATCAGTGAGTTGTTAAGGTGCTGGTAGGTGAATTTTGTTATGTTTGGATGACCAGGCTTATTGTGCAATATATAAACATTAGTTTGAATTGATCAGTGATTAATGGATTTTTCTGAGACATAATAGCCTTGTAAAGCCTGAGTGGTCACCAGCGCTCCCTTTAGGGAACAGCCACTGGACTGATTTTTCTGCTTTGTGGATGATTTCTGTTCAAAATATCACTCATTCCTTCTTCTCCTCACTGAATCCATAAATGTGACTCATAATTGTTTGATTTTAGCCCTGGGCCGCTGCTATTTTGCTCCAAAACACGTCATTGAAATGTTTCACAGGTTACATAAACTTGCTGTAATCTTTTAAAATCGCATATAAGTCCTTGTGCTTATTTTGAAAAATTGAACTGAAGTGAATTAAAAATGAAGTAGAATTTGTTCAAGAAGTACTGTGTCTAGGATTTTTGTAATTAGGGCATACATGTTTGATGTTCTCTACTTATTCTCTTTTGGACTTTAGAAAGGGAACCTTGCTGCTGAACAACAGCTTTGCTCTAACAGCTGCTCTGCTGCTAACCTTGGGAGAAAAGGCAAAATCTTTTGAGATGCTCATCATTGGCCGGCTCATAATTGGGGTGGACTCTGGTAAGAGTTTATTTGTATTATACTGAATGCCCTCATATCAGTAGTATCACAGAAGCTCCCCAAAGGCTAATATGATATGAGGCTAATTTAGCTTAACCATACTTTACATAAAATTGACATCACTATATGTTTTAGTCTAGACTCTGACCATAGTGTAACAGATGTAGTAGCCTCCACACAACAGACACATACACCTGAGTTACTGATCACAGGTTTAGAGAAACACTGTTAACTTTGTGAAAAATGCTCAGTTTCAAATGAGATCAAAACATTCACAATAAATTTTTAAAATGTGTTGTTAGGCTAATGTTATTTTCCTGCAATCAAATTACAAAGCTGCAAATGATTTGTATTAATAGGGTTTTGGGTAAACTTTAGCCCCACTGAAAAGAAAAATTGACTGGACTTGGCAGAGCTGTCAAACCTGAATGCACTGATGATGAGTAAGCGACAAGACTTTAATTACAGGTCCCACTTTCTCCTCTGAGTACATGCCTACAGCCACAGAGGAGGAGCAGATCATCAACGCTAGTTCATCCATGTTATTGGGGTTACATTGCCTGCAGATAAATTGTTGAGAGATCAAACTGTAGTTGACAGAATCTTGGCTTATATCAGCTGCTGGCAGAAAATTTAAAATTTAAAATGTGTAAGCAAAGCACACTTATTTTACAAGTCTGATTAGTACAAAACCTCTGGGATTTGGAAAACTAAGTGGCGTCTGTTATTTATATGGTTTTTCTCTGCTTTAACTCGTGTATCTGACTAATCTGCAAAGTAGCTAATGCACCATATTAATTTGTTTTTCCCCCCGACAGGTATAGCCCTCAGCGCCCTCCCCATGTACCTGGGAGAAATTTCCCCAAGGCATATTAGAGGCTTCATTGGCCAGTTCAACTCCATCCTGATTTGCTTGGGTGTGTTCACAGGACAAGTACTGGGGCTGCCTGAGCTGCTGGGTCAGGTCAGTGGTGGTTCTGGCATTTATCTTGGTACTTTTGCATGTGTTCCTGTTTTGAAGGCTGGGGTACACTTGTTGCGATCTTTTTCTTTTACTGATGTCATAAAAATAAAATTGGGATGTGGACCCTGAGCTGAACAAATGATGACTACTACAAAGTGACTTACTACAGTGAGAAGCAAAATGGCCATAAATACATGGAAAACGACTACAGAGAGATGCAAGCTCAGTGGTTTGTACTTGTTTTGTGTTTTGTTGTGGGTCTTACTCTTACAGAATGTAGGAGGGATATGGGCCTTTTTCCACAAGTTTGTGTCCAGGAGTCTGTCTCATAATCAATCATCCATGCATATACATGTACATGTTTTAAGGAGTTATTATTTTTCAGGCTGCTGGGAAATCTGTGGCATTTCAGCCTTTGTGGGTTGGACAAACCACTCGCGAGTTACAACCAATATACAAACCCTCCATAAATGCACAGCACCACAAGCAAAGGGAACATACTGTATACATCCTAGACAGAGAAGACAGGTGGTTTGTAAAAGCTGCAAAATGGACCACATCATTTTCTTTAAAGAAACTTTCCCTGAACAGGAGAGTAGAACTGGCTGTGTCACTTTCTGGTCAGGATGGTCGTGGTGTTTTCTTCTTTAATCAGCACCTATAATGCTTTCCTGACCATTTGGTTTCACACCGGTTCACACTCATTTTCATGACTCTCGTGACTGTCACGTCTGCCACGTGGACTTATAGACTGCAGCGACTCTCATGTGATATTGAAGTGTGAAACAGTCACAAAGGTTAAAATACCAAGGACTTTCCATTAGTCAGCTGACGCCCCATGGACAAGCTGCCAACTTTCTTCACTCTGCTGCTACAGTCCAGTGGATAGTTTCATTTTGACTTGACATTTAGAGAAAAAAAAGACTCCTCCATTTTTAGCTGAACAACTGAGTAGTGCTGGCTGACAACACTTCAGGAACATGTCTTCCTCAGCCACTTCAGTAATGAACTCACGTTTTTACCCTGTACAGTATTTGAGTGGTTCTATCTGTGGCTTGTTTCACTGAGATGTCATTAGGAATTCTCAGTCTCAACTTGTTTGGCCTAGAGGAAATGTTATCCACTTCCCCTCTTCAACCTTAATGCCCACTGTACACAAGTTCAGCCATGCTGACTCAACATACTGCTGAGGTATTTTCATGAGTGGGGATCCAGTTTTCACTGAAATACTTGATTAGTGCTAGATTTTCAGTTGATCTTTTAGGGCTGAAAACAGACAATCAGTTGTGTAATATGCACCGAAAGCCGATGATATAAAGCTTTCCCCTCCTGGCAGATGCTATTAACTTTATCTGGCTGCTTACTTTTGGCACTGTATTAAGGACTGAAATTGCTTCCTCAAATTTAAAGTGTGCAATTATATCTTTTGGCAGCTGTGTCTGCTCAGAAAGCGTGAGGATCAGTGGCATAAAGATCATCTAAGAGAGACCTTGAGTTTCTGTTGCTCTTCTTCTAGGGCTATAAGCCAAATATATATATTACCGAGCCATACATTGTATGAGAACAGTTCATTTTTAATTAAGTTGTGTTTGGGGAGGTTAATTGATTCTCTATTTTTGAGTGAGCGTTATTGGATTATTGTTAAGACTTAAAAAAAAAGATTTCAAATAAAGTGTTGAAAGTTTTCATTACAAGTAAACTATTTAGAAAGTATCCCTGTCAAACTAAGACAAGATAAAAAATAAAAAATGATGCATGAATGCTTTAAAAGATTTGTCTATAAGATGTGTTCGCCAGGGGAAACATTCAATGTTGAATGCTGCACTCTCTCTCTCCTGTTATTTTTTGTGTGACAAAAATAGATTTTCATCAGTAAACAGTGACGGTTTATCCTGCTGCGGCGTGCTCGTTTAAAAACGCAGCAGAGGCGGCTACATTCAGTCAGAGCTGTAAGCACAGTTTCGCCTCGCTGCCTAGTTTTAGTGGTATGCTGTTGGAGTATCATCACAGTTGACTGGAAGCACTGGAAAGTGTTATTTGCTGTCACGATATCACGTTAACACAACAGGTGTCAGGTCAGAACATGTAGTGCATTGTCACTGTCTGTGGGAAAGACATGGAGAAACCAACAGAAAACAGATTAATCAAAACAATACTTGAGCCTTCATGTGGTACTGTATATGAATGGGCATTGTCACTGTCTTTCAGTTAACATGCCAACAAATATGACATGCTTTTTCTAGATTTCAGTCATTAGATTAACATGAATATTTCTGAATGAGGTGACTGTGAATCATTTCGGTGTGTTGGGTCGGTACATTAACCACAGCCACAGCTGTTTCTGCATATTGACTGAGGGAACATGGCATGGGACTATACAGCATCTGGAGTTGTCTGTGTAATTGTTTGCATATGATGACATGCTCAAGCGACTAGACTTCATCCACATCTTGATTTGTCTGGAGTATATCCTTTGTTTTGTGTGCATAACGCAGCACTGCACATTTCCAACTGTGCATGTGCTTTCATTCCAACAATGATGAGATAAGAGCAGCAAACATTTTTCTTTCTTTTTTAAGTTTATTTCTTGGGCTTGTTTTGCCTTTGTCAGTGGGTCACAGAGAGGCAGACAGGAAACAGAGACCGGGGGCGGGGGGACCTGTGACAAATGTCAGAGGCAGGAATTGCTGAGATATGTGCATGTTTGCCACCATCACCAGTCGACCATCAGGGTGCCAGCAAGCATATTTCTAAAACTGTGAGTTTTGGATGAAACTCATTTTTTCATAATTTTAATAGGCCCATTCATATACAGTACCACAATAAGGCTCAAGTATTGTTTTGATTTGTTTAATCTGTTTTCTGTTGGTTTCTCCATGTCTTTCCCACAATTTTCCTCTGAATTTAATTAAACTGAAAACAAAAACGATGTGTGTCTATGCCATGTTTCTTGCTTTGGCTTTAAAAGACTGCTGCTTTTTAAGCCTCTTTTCACTGATGCCTGACAAACTGAAGCCAAATGTATTCTTCTCAGTCAGTGTGGATTTTCATTTCCAGTAAAGGGAAGGAAGAAATCATTTCCACCTGCAGGCTACTTTGATAAATATCATATGTCTTCATGCAGCCATTGCTATGTATTCATAGCACCTCTGGGACACCCTTCAGGCCTGCCTGTTTCCTTGTCATTTGTCAAGACCTGTGATGTATCTGATGACATGCTGCTGGCCTTTGGTTACTTGAACAGGTTTCTTCTCACTGGAGGCTTCTGTTAATAGGACCTGCTCTAAGATCTGATCTGTGGGATGCAAAATGGTGATAATTACTTTAACCTTCACACTTAGCCACTGACCTTCACCCAGGTTAACATGATTATTCTGGTATAACAGCAGGAACAGGCTTTTAGCCAGTCTGTCACTGAGATCCCCTGAGACAGCAAACTCATCAGCATGCCTCAGACACACCTTACAATAGGGAAGTTTATTCTGTGGCCTTAATGGGCCCTTATCTATATTCTGTATCCTCCATTACACCTGCCTATGGCTTTGGAGGGCTGTCTAAATGGGAGGGGCACTGTAGTACAATTTATTTTAGATAGTTGTCACACTGGCTATCAGACACAGGAGTAATGTGGTATGCTAAACGATTGATGTCAGCCTGGAGTGTGTACTGTGTATGTACTGTGTGGGCGTTCAGCTCTTTGCAGTTTAACAGGACAATTTACACACATAAACATAGACAGATAAACAAGCAATGGGACAAGAGTAGTTTGTTTTAATTTGTTTGTGAATCTTGAAGACAAGTTTGAACACTTTATTTCTGTTTCTTATTGGTTTAAGACTGCATTCCAACCAAACAACCCTGGTGCAGCAAATCAAGCATGGATCTGCGTCACTGGGGGTGTGTCACATAAAAATACAGATAAAATAGTTTTCTGTTGTTGTTGGTGGTGGTGGGGTTTGCTGGCTTATCATCCACCATTAAAACCTGAAGAAGAAGAGTGGTTGTGTTTATACATTTTAGTGCCAGTGTACATCAGCTTTAATCTATGCTACCAGTCAAAGTGCTGCCTGAGCACTTGTTGCATTCAAGAAATTATGTGGGTGCACACCAATGTGAGTGAGTCTTGAGTTCCAACAAAGCTTAGGGTAGAAATCATTCAGTTAGCAGCTTTTCTTTTTGAGTTGCTGCTGATTGTTACTGTTTCTGGATAAATTGGCAAACAGCAGGATCATGTCAGTTTAATCAATCCACACTCCCCACTGTAATTACATTTTAGATATCCATAATAGTATATCTCCCAGTCAAAATTGTATTCTCACCAGTCCAAATGGTAATTAAAGATATCCAAAACAATATTTTTATTATTCTTTAAACATTTAATCACTGGACTGGATACACTTTGCAGATATCTGTAATTCAGTTCTTCCTAGCCACAAAGAAGATTTTGATATCCACAGTGACTTTCTTTCAAGGACAAATGATGACACTTATGCCAGCTTTCCATTTCAGATACCCAGAATGTTCATTCTCATTCTAATTGTATATATCTGAAATTGTATTTTTACTAGTCATCAAGCGACCCGTGGACATCCCTACTGACATTTTTACTAGTCACAATGTATTTTGTCTATTCAAAATGACGTTATGGATATATGGGAATGGTTTTTCACATAAAATTAACAGTAACTCTAAGATGTAAGTGTATTGCATTTAATTGCTAACTATTTTTTCTTGTAGAAATTCTTAATCAGAGAATGATGTGCATCTGCTTCTTCCATGGAGCATTATACAGCAGCTACACAGCTGAAAGATACATCTGTTCTGCCCAGCTTCTCTGTGTAGTGAGGTGTAGCTCTTCCATGTTTGAAGCTTTGATGGAGCTCTTTTGTTGATGTTTTGCCTGCAGGAACCCAAGTGGAACTACTTGTTTTCCTTCCTGGCGTTGCCTGCAATGCTGCAGCTGTGTGTTCTGCCCTTCCTCCCAGAGAGTCCTCGCTACCTGCTGATGGAGAGGAGGGATGAGGCTGGAGCAGAAAGAGGTACTGCACACAGTAATGGCATTAATGTTTCAAATTAGACCAGTTAGACCACTGCTGTCTTAAAAAATACCTAAGAAATTTTGAATGTTATTAAAAATACAAGCCTGAAATAGTTAAAACCAAAGAGTGATTAACTGTGCAGCCAGGACAGTGACTTTAGATTTGGCATTGAAAGTAAAATTTGACACCAAAATAGAACAGTGGTACTGAAATACTTAAATTAATGTAACACAACTGTTCATTTTTGACAGTGGGTGTACAATCTTAATATTTTATTCTGGTGTCTTTTTAGCTTAGTTTTATTTTCTTCATGTCTGTCTCTTTTCAGTGACACTTGTTTTCAGTTCAACTCTGTTTTGCCATGGAGGGAGAAAGAGAGCATGGTTTGCATACCAGAGATTGATTGTTTCTCCTCCTGATCGTTCCTTCCAAAGCGCCGCTCTGTGTGTGGATACACGAGCAAAGAGACTGCAGTTTGAGGGGTCTGTGTGCACTCAAGGAAGCTGTTGCTTTAAGTGTGCCATCATCCCTGACAGCCAAAGGCTTTGGAGCAGGTGGCGGGTCAGGTAGAGGGACGTTCTCTCCTTTGTATACAAATCATGCTCCCCTTCAGTGACAGCACTGTTTTTCACTACCAAAAAAGAAAAAGTCATTACAAGCATTTCAGTTTGAGTGTTTCCTTTTTCAGTTCTGTCACTGTCCTGGTCCCATAACATGCATCACACACCGTAACATAATTACTCAACAATATGCAAGTGTAGTGAAAGCAGGTCTCACCTATGTTACATGTATGTTTCCTTTTCTTTGGTATGAACAGTTAGAGAAGAAGGGGCTTTCATCTACAGTTTTTAGGTTAGCTGAGTGTACATGGCATCAGATGTACCACCCACTGTTGTGAAGTGGGCAGAAGTGCCATGCTTTCCTCCCTAAAAGGAACACTTCAGCCAATAACTATAATGTAACTCTAACCCTGAAACATGCTTTTTCAGTAATGAGCCAGTCGTCCAGCTGAACAGTTTTTCAATTGCACAAACAGCCTTATTTCACCTTCAACCTCTGTTACCTTTAAATTGAGAGCGGGAAACACTACAGAACCACCCCTCAAGATTTGTGTGTGCTGGCAACAATTTCCCCAAGCACAGTGCTGCAACACAAACCAACAACATGGATCTGCAGCAGTGTTCATGCCAGCAAAATGTTGGCTGGAGGTGCTGTAGTAGGGACGGTGTGGACAGGATGTCCATTCACTAACCATCATCTCATCCTCACATAGTTTTGCAGCCAGTCATTGCCTAATGCTTGAATAAAGATCCAGACAGGAATATATATTTCTAACCATATTGTAACACAAAGTAAGTGAAGCAGTGCAATAGATTCCAAATTCAGTACAACCGTTGAAGATAAGTGGACATGGCTACAAACTGCTTTGCCTCTCACCTTCTTATTATTAGTTGTCTGATTTATAAAGCTCTCTTGTGGCTCACTCCTGTTTGTGACTTTAGTGTTAGTTAGAAAGAGAAAACAACAATCCTGATTAGAATTTGCTGAGCAGACTCAAGTTTGGAATTATTTACATGGTCAGAACAGCTTTAAACAGACAGATGGTAAAAGGAGAAAGTGAGTTCAAATAAAAGTGCTCCATCAGGAGAAGTACAAGCACCATCCTTGAATTTCAGCAACTTTAAAATAAAGTTTGAACATTAACTTTATAGAACAAAGTTAGAATTAGTTTCCAAAGAGACACCATTTTAGGTACTTATCATAAATAAGCACTAATAAACAAAAAACAGACACTTTCCTAATATACATAATAAGGTTTGTCTGAGCCTACAGCAGCAACAGTTCACAAACCGTTTTATAAAAATGCCACGTTTTTGACTTTTACTTTACACCTTAGTAGAGAAATTTCAAAGCTGGCACGTGTCTCAGGCGTTCCAAGGAGTCACAGATAGGACTCTAGAACAGGACTCTGGAGTTAATTAGAAAGCTTAGCACTGTATGTCTAAAATAATACAATTTATAAGACAAAATCAGGATGTTATGATCATTTTGTTTGCATGTGTTGGTGTTTGTATATTTCCATCCATCAGATTAGCAAAAATTCTGAGTAGCAAAAATATTTTGACCTTTGTAAGGTCATAAATAAAGAGTTTTGCTTTTTTGGGTCATGTCCTTAACCTGAACACACCTGCATTTGCCAAAACACCAGGGATTCACCTTTACAGGAGAAAGAATCAAAGTGAGGAAAAAAATGACTTATACCTGTATTTCCTCGAGTCCTTTACACTCAGGTATAAGTTCAAACAGTGTTCACCTGCCCAGTCTGCAAATGTCTGCCAGTAACCTGGCCATCCATTAACACAAGTATAAATGGTGTGTGTATTTCTGGTTTAAAACCTAAAATAGACAGCACTCAGAGAGTGCACCCTCTGCCAAACTTGGTTTCCCCATATTGCCACAAAAGCAATAGTCCCATGATAGTGTGACCCTCATAATATGATCACTTGACCATGAAAACCTACTGCTGGCATTTGCAGTGACAGTGATATAATTAGTTTGAAAGTTATTCAAGAAAGACAATGTACATGACAGACATTCACTCGCTGGTTTATGGGTAAAACAGGGACTTCAGTGAGTGGACTATGGCAAAGTGGTGAAGATGTCACATTTCTGCAAGTTTGTGTTCTGCTTGTTCACTGTTTAATAAACTGGTCATGCAGTCTCTGTTACTGGCTGATTGTTACACTATACAGTGATCCTTTACATCCTCTGCTCCTTCTGCTCAGCTGTGAGTATGTGTGAGAGGAGCACAGCCTCTCCCTTCATTAAACAGAAACTGACATGGAAAAATACAGATTGGCCCATGTCAGCCTGTGAGGTTATGCTGGGTGATGGTTAAAGGAAGCACGGAGTGTACTGCTCATTAGGTTCAGACAGTGGAAACAGCTATAATAACAGCTGGAACACCAGCGTCCTCGCCGACAGACTGCTGTGCTCTGAAGAGACGTAGGCTTTAGATAAGAGTAATTATGTTCACCATGAACTGATTAAATGATGGATTATATGAATTCCTCAAGTTTATGTTGGTAAAAATGGATCACGCTTTGTCTGCAGGCAAGGGAACAATAATGTACAGTAATAAAACACAAAACCTCTTTGAATCTGTAGTTAGTAGAGAGAGCTAAGTGCCATCTGCATTGCCGTAAAATGTTGAAGCATTTATATTTAGAACATGAGTAGAGCAGGATACAGCCACAGGGCATGCCACAAATCTTTTTGACTATCAATCAAACTTTATTTGTGCAGCACATTTTTGTACAGGTGAATGCAATTTCAAGTTCTTTACAAATGGATGGCAAACTGATAATTAGACAGAAAATGTGACGTAATAAAATAAAATGTGAACAGATTTAAATATAATTTTAAAAGAATAAAAACGAATAAAATTAATAATTCAGCTAAAAGACAATGAAAAATCTAATATGACACTAAACAGTTTTAAAATATGAGCTCGGTAAAATAATAAATAGAATAAATAATACATGTAAAATATTCTGTTGAAAAACCAGGTGAGGTAGATTTTAAATTTAAAATCATCTGCACTTTCATTTGCTCTCAGATCATCAGGCATCAGGAAAACTGACTCACCAAAAGTTTTTATCCTGCACTTTGGAACAGGACTAGAAGCATGTCATACACATACACATAGGCTGGTGCAAGACCACGAAGTGCTGTAAAGACAGGTAGAAGAACTTAAAAATAAATAAGGCCTCTTCTGCTCTTTTTGATTAGTGGATATTTGTAACAGTGTTCATGGTATATGTGTGTGTGTGTGTGTGTGTGTATATATGTTTGTCTCTCAGCCTTCCAGAGGCTTTTGGGGAAAAAGGACGTATCCCAGGAGCTGGAAGAGGTTTACACAGAAGCTCGAGCACAGGACAACTCAAGCACCATCTCTGTGCTACAGCTGCTCAAAAGCCCCACTGTTCGCTGGCAGCTCATCACCATCATCATCACCATGGCCTGCTATCAGCTCTGTGGCCTCAATGCTGTAAGCTGCCGCTGTTGTTTCACTTATTTTAGCTTTTCAGTGGAATTCTGTTTATATGCTACAGGATAAATACAGTATAAATATGGGATTGCTATGCAGAGATTTTGGATATCAGCCAGAGACACTGTAGCTACAGCATTTTGTAGCCTTAGTCAACATGATGTATAACTCCTGGCAAATATGTAAGTCAGTAAAATAAGTCCACATTAAAACAAGACATATTTTCCTATCACAGTCCTGCCAGTGACCAAAAAACAAAACAAACAAAAAAACATCAATGCTGTCAAAACTCCACTTGTCAGTGTGGCAGCACATTGCAGACAGTTTCCCCCCTGGGCGTGTGCAAGCACAGGTGTGACCCCATATTTGTAGTCTCCTAAAATAGTTAAATCTAGTTTTAAAAATAGATATTCTGCATAAGTAAATATTGTTTTCATCTGCTTTTTTGTTATGAAAGGCTAAAAAAGTAAATATATTCATCATCAAATCGTGGCTCTTGCAGCTAGTTTCTTGCTCCAGTTGGTATGGCTTGTTTGTACTCAATAGTTCTGTGTATAAGAACCCATGGGTGTGGAATCCCTCTGTTCTGTGCAGTTTGTTCAAGGGACAAGATGTGTAACCATCCTTCACCTCCTGTTTTGCAGTGCACTTGGTGGGTGGCAATGAATGTTGTCAAGTTATGAGACCATCCCTCTCTGTCTTGGGTTGTAGATGTAGTACACCCAGGCATAAGGAAACGAGTTGCTGCTTATTGCTGCCATCCACAGAAAATGAAAGTGAAAGCCAAGCAAAATTGACTTTAGATGATTTTCCTATAACAGCAACTTAAAAAAATAAAAACATACTAATTTTATACTATTACTACTAAAAACATTGTAGTCTTTTAAAACTATACTAGCAAGAAGGATGCAATGAATCTATTTAAATTGTCATTTTGTAACTAAATTCCTGAATTAATGGACAAGGTATGTCATTTTCTTTATTAATAGCACTCTTCATGAATTGCCTATACTCACGGTTAATGTCAGCTGTCAGTCCTGGATTAGCTTGTTCATCTGTGCCATAGACACAGTCATTGTTCAAAAAATGATTAAAAACACATCAGTGAAGCACACGCTGCACTGGGTGACATGCTTCTTCATTAGCAAAAACTAGACCTGAGCATGAGGAGCTAGCAGAAAGAAAATAAAGCAGAGAGTTCGCACAAACTCTTGCCATGCACAGCTGACTCTGACTCATGATAACTTCAGGAAATTGTGGCCGCACAGCGTCTTAGGGGAAACATAGTCGGGTGTGGGGTTTCATAACGAAAAAACATGTCACTCGGTGCAGCGCTTTCTTTCCCTGATGTGTTTTTAATTGTTTTTGAGGAAAAACAGATCTATCACACACACAAAAACAAGCTAATCCAGTCATTGTCGGTTTTAATCCCTGTATATAGAAGGCTGAAAAAAATATTAATATAGGAAATGACTAGCCTTATTTTTTAAAGGCAAAAATAAACCTTGTTTCTGACTGACATGCTGCAGCAGGCTCTGTGCAATACATAGAAATAAGCTGTTAGCTTGTCTCCAAAATCACATTCAGCATTAATATGATAAAAGTCTTTTCAGTAATACAAGAAAAGCCTAAAAATCCCAAAGCAGATCTGAATTGTCATAGATATGACTTCATTTGCATAATTTTTATTCCAACAAAGACAGAAACGTAATGTAGATTGTTTTGGTGGTCTGGTTGTCTTGCCATCACACCAGTCATATGATTCTAGTAAACATTACACTTTGAGAGTGACTTGGTGACATTTCAGCAGCTTACTGTGCTGCTATGAAGCTCTGAGTGCTGCTGCTATCTTGACAGCTGACAAATACTACTGCAACTGATGTCACAGTACCAGTTCTGCCTGTCAGAAATGATAATTTCTGACAATTGAGTATTTTATATTCTCATTGTTAAGGGGGAATAGTGCAGGGCATAATTTAGAGGGGATCAAATGAATACTTTATTACTGAAAATATTCAAAATGATGTTGTATTCTGTAGCAGGGTGTCAGTTTTGTACTGTGTGTTGTTTCAGACCTATGCCTTCTTCTCTGTGGTCTCTGCCTGTCTGTAGTGTGTTGGCCCATTTTAGATTTCAGATTGTTAAATCCAAAGACATTTGTTTTCAAAAATGTTAAATAATGGTATTAGTCTGGTTGTGGCTAAGTTGAAAAGAATTTGTCGGAGTAATCCACTTCTCAGTGTCATGACATTTTTTTGGACTTGGAACCTGACACAGCCCATCCAAAACATTTTAGTTTAACTTACACCATGTTTGCACTGGATGTGAGTAAATCAGCAGCACTTTTAGTTAGTTCAGTGTCTATACTGAATGTGTTTAGACACAGTTCTACACAATAGCTAGAGTTCCATGAGTAAAATGGAAGAAAGTAGACTTGAAGACTAAAAAAATAGGACTGATTAAAATAGGAGCATATTTGATAAACATAAATAATGCTAAAACAAGGCTTGTCTCTTTTTGTGATCGAACTAAATAGCTACATTCAGCCTTAAATAATAATATTAACTTGTCTATAATAAAGCCTATTGTTTGTAAAAATTATTCATGCGGATTTACATTGTAAGACCAGTGAAATTTAATGTCTTTTCTCACAGATTTGGTACTACACTAATGCGATCCTTCGGGAAGCAGGCTTTGCTGAGCACACCCTCCCCTACATCACAATGAGCACAGGGTTTATAGAGACTTTGGCTGCCATTATCTCGGTAAGTTCTGTTTCTCTAAATCACCCAAACATCTGTTTCTGGGGATATGCCTGTTGGAATAAATGCTCACAAGGTTTTGTTTTGCTTCAGGTGTGGTCTTTACGCTTTATTTGCCATTAAGTTTTATCATTACATTTGAACTTTTATCTACCATTTTCAAGGTATTTTGAGCTGTTTTCTTTTTAAACCAAAACAGCAAAAACTATACACGACAGCCTGGGCTATCATGTAATATGAGAGTATTATCATCAAAATAGATTTTAAGTACCAGAAGTAAAAGGTCTCACTATGCAGAATGAAACATTTCACATTAATACATATTAAATTATTGGATTATAATTATTGACACATTATTGTGTACATCACATTTAATGCTGCATCAAATTTGATTTCCCACCAGGGGTTAATAAAGTCAGATAACTGTAATTTGCATTGTTAATTTTATTCCGAAAAGTAACTAGTCACTAAAGTTATCAAATAAATGCAGTGGTGTAAGAAGTACAATATTTGCTTCTAAAATGAAGTCAAAGCATGAATTAGCAGAAAATCAAAACATTCAACTAAAGTACAGATACCTCAAAACTGTACTTAAGTACAGTACCTGAGTAAATGTACTTAGTTATTTTACACCAATATGATAATCATAGACACTTTTAGTGGCCAAGTATGTTACACACATAAGGAATTTGTCTCCGGTACAGAACCAAGGCAGCCATCTGCGGCACCATCTCACACACACACCAACGGCAGCACTGTGCCCACAAGGCGCTGCTTTGGCCATCGGGAGCAACTTAGGGTTCAGTGTCCTACCCAGGGACACTTCAGCTTGCGGACCGGTGAGAATGGGCATTGAACTCCTGACCTTCTGACTGGAGGAAACGACCACTCTTCCCCCTGATCCATAGCCAACCTATGATGATTAGGTCTTTACCAAGTCAGAAATTGTTGTGTTGGGCATGAAGTGTAGAGCGAATTCATAACAGCCTTTTCACTGAAAACATCTGCCCTGAAAATGAGGCTGATGAGAGAAGTGAGAGTGAACCGAAACCTCAAAACCCAAAGACTGAGCTGAAAGATGCTGTAAAGCTCAGAAAACTGCAAAGTCTCCTGACAGTTCTTCTGACACTTGATTCAATATGGTTATATAAGCTACAACCAATTTTTTTGGAGACTTGCCTTTCTATAGTAGCATTTTCATCTCCCTTTCCAGCTCTGCATTTTTCCTTTATGCTGACATCTCACCATGAGTAAATTACAAAGAGGAACACAGTGACCATGTGCTGTTTTCCCAGCCTCTTTTAAAATATATCTAATAAGAGTTTCACTTTTATATCACAACATAAAAACAAACAAAGTAAATTACTAGGACAGGAGAGGAAAGACAAGACACTAGTTACATAGATGGAACATAGGAACGCGAGTGAGTGTAACGAGTGTACAGGTGGTGTGTAGGTGTGTTGTGTGGGTGTGTTCGGTATATAAATAAGGAGAAGGGGGAAGAAGAAGAAAAAAGGAGGAGCAGGGTATGAGCTGTTACGTAAAAGGTTTGGGAGGCTGGGAAGAAAAAGATACAAAAAGGTAAAAAATGAATAAATTGTAAACAAATCAATAAATAATAAAGACAAGGAGAGCACTGGCTGGGTGTCCGCACTGAGCTGCACTTTTTAATTTGTGATTGATTTTGTCTAATATTCTGCAGTAGAAAAACAAATATAAAGTAAATGAAGGTGAAGCTAAAAGTAAACTCTGGAGATCCTTAATTTTTTGGATGTTCTGGTTGAAAAGGGCCAGTAATTTACTTGTTTATTAAGGCAGCATTTCTGTGCATCATGTGTTACTTTTCAAACAAGAACACTGTGCAAAGTGGAGTGGGAAAATAACCTCTCTCATCTCTCCTTATGTAATGAATATAGTTTGTAGCTGCTACAGTATCTGTTTCTGTGATTTGTCTATTGTGCACAAGCACATTGGTCTTTGATCTGTGGCAGCGAGAACACCCCGTTGAGTGACTTAGCTGCCAGGGGACTGACTTCAAACATCAGCATGTGCCTTTCAGATAGGGGTTTTCCCTGTACTTCTATAGCATCTACCCATCAGCCACAGCCAGCTCACCTCCCACCGCCTTTCTTTAAATTCCACCCTCTTATATTGCTGATACAGTGAGTCACAGGCTTTTGGACTGGCATACACAGAGAAGTCAGAATTAAATTCAACAAGTTACAAGTAATCAATCTAACAAATAACTTGTCATGAATTGTAGAGTTGGACCAAATTTATTTAACTTTATTGGTTTGTGGTTTATTTGTATATTGATTTGGGTCCCCATTATCTTCCTCCACAGCAGCTGCTAGTCTCCCTGGGATGCATCCATCCATCCATCCATTATCTATATTGCTTATCCTGAATAGGATTGTGGGGGCTGGAGCCAATCCCAGCCCACATTGGGTGAGAGGCGGGGGACACCCTGGGCAGGACACCAGTCTATCACAGAGCTGACATGTAGACAAATAACCACACACTCACACTCACTCCTACGGGCAATTTAGAGCCACCAATCAACCTAAGCTGCATGTCTTTGGACTGTGGGAGGAAGCCAGAGTACCTGGAGAGAATCACCTCAAGCACAGGGTGAATGTGCAAACTCTGCACAGAAAAGCCCTGGGTCAGCCCAGGCTCAAATCCGAAACCTTCTTGGTGTGGCGCAGCAGCGCTAATCACCGGGTCCACCATGCCACCGCTCCCTGGGATCCAAATCCTTAAAATACATCATACAGTAATAATTTTTTTTTTTTACATAGATATAACAAGTCAGGCACAATAAACCAGGAAACAGAGGCAATTGTAGTTACTATGAGCACTTTCAGTCATATCCTGTACTTTGTTTCTGGTTCTATTTTTTACATAGCAAAGAAGATGCTGTATCCATAAAGTGCACAAGCTTAGTTTTCAATCAGTATCTCAGCCACTGTCAGGAAAAACCAAACACACACAAGATAGTTTCCTTTGGAGAGAATTTGATGCGTTGCTTTTTGAGAGCAACCTCATTTACCCAGAGCGCAGCATCACTGTACGGTACGTTACAGGAAGTGATTGTCCTCAGGCCACAACAACCAAATCTTTTCAAGCTAATTTAATGCCCTCTGTCATCAGCTTATGAAGAAAATCTTACAGTTGCTTGTGGCAGTTTTGTACCTCTGATACAAAGACATCAGTTTCTTGTTGCAAGACATTTGTGTGATAAAACTTTACTGCCTCTCCTCATTATCAGAATATTATGGCATATGGTGCATTGGTTTTTATGGGAAGAAAAACTGCTGAGAATGTGATTGGTCTCAGTAGAAGCCAGGCCCACACTATTTACTGATTATATATTCCTCCTGATTTCACCCAACACTTGTGCTGCAGGTGCCACTGGTCTTAGTACCCTGTGGATTTATAGATGTTCATGTGCACACACTAAGGCCCACACATCAAATGAATGTAGAGTGCAAAGCCTTTGACACCTCTTCTCAAAATATATAGGCGTAAAGTAGTTTTTACACTGGTTTTCTGTGTTCCCAGTTTCTTAAAAAAGTCTGTGAACGAGGTAGGCAGTAACCTGTTGAAAGGCTTTTAGGGAAAAATGTCAGTTAGCAAAATAGTTTAAACTAAATAAAGATGATTATTAAATAGTTTATGAGAAAAAAGAATAATCTGCATAGAAGAAACTGCCCCCTCCCCCTTTAATCAAAGCATTGCTTTAATTGCTGTACATTTTAAATGCCATGTTTGTCACATTTGCATCTGTAGTGCTAGAATGAGAAAGTTGATGTTGACCAGTTATTTTATATATAATGTATAATTTTCTTCTTACTTACTTTATGTCCACGGCAATTGTAAAGCCTTAAAAATGAATAAAAACGAGGTGGTAAGTGTCTTAACATTCTACCACCTTCTTCACAAACTGTACTTTCAAATCAGCTAACAAGGTCCTTATGCTGAGTTTGTGTCCTTCTTTTATCCAGCTTCTCTGGTTCCCTCTTACAACCTAAAGATCCAGAGGTTAGGTGAACTGGAAACTCTAAATGGGTTTGACCCAGCCTGTTCCTATTGCTCGAACAATGCATGCTGGGATAGGCTGCAATGACACTGACCAAAATAAGTCAGTGACAAAATATACAGAATAGATGGATGACTCACTTTAGGCTTTTTATTGAATTATGGTATTTTTCAGCAACATGAACACCTGTGGAAAGCAGAGCGTCATTGATAAAATGTATCATTTATACCGACTACTGAAACTGCAGGAACCTGCACAGCGATTTCGCTAGGTCCCAGTGGCCTAAAGCTCTTAACCATGTGACCGTGTTTGGGCACAAACTAAACAGGCTGTGTCCATGTCACTGCTTTCCTCTCTCTCACTTCAAATTTCCCATCAGCCTGTACTGTCAAATAAGGGTAAATGTGCCATACAATATTTTACCTCAGCAGGGCCAAGGCTATATGTGAGCCAGTTTGACCACCGTGTTATTTTAACCTCAGTAGGTTTGCTGAGTGCTTGGAGTGTATCTGTTTGTGCATGAAAATGTAGACAGACTCCATTTGTTTGTCTTGTTTTGTGTTGAGGCTATTTCCCACTATGCCTCCTGTCTGCGTATATTAATAAGTTAAGGTCAGCTTGGGTTAACCATGAACTTTTCTGTAGTGTTTCTATCAATTTTCTTTGTTTGTATGTGTTCATGTCTTTCCATTAACTCAGTATGAACGAATGGCCATGGTGATTTAATCTGAATGCATTGCTAAGCATCAACCAAACATTTTTTCCACCCTTTATTAAGGTTTTACCAATTTTCTCTATTTTATTACTTATTTTGTGATACATGTTGTAAAAAGGCAAAACAGGCACAAGATGTGGGTACTGACCTCCTGTCCCCTTCTCTAGCACCCTTTCACTGCAGCACGCTATACTGCTGGCTAACACACAACGACTGTGGTGTGTGTGTACCACTCCACATAAAATCACACACATCCTGCTGTCATCACTCTCTCCAGAATCTAGATCATTTATATCATCTATTATAGATAAATAGATTTGTGTTTACTGTGTAAGCTTCTGGAAGTTTTTTAAAAATCTGCAAATGACTTCCACATAAGGGAGAAAATTAGGCTCTGATATCTTTAGCCGTGCTACCTGACACCAGTTGGAGTGAAGCACAGTGGCAGCAAGCGGCACAGTATCAAATGCAAAGCTATCAATATCCTCCGTTAATGTCCTTCTTTGTATTACAGTACAAAGTAATTTGTTCACTGATTGTCACAAGGGTGAAAACATTTATAGTGTTATTGTCAGTGTGCGCTTATATGACAGATTTCCTCATTCAAAGCCTCTCCCAGGGGTTTTACCAGGGATGGAGGAGAGATTGCGACTCAGCTGAAGAGCCAGCCGTGCCTTATGTTGTGGCCACTTGTCTTTAATGGCTCATCTGCTTCTTGATGTGATGGATAATGATCAGACACTGAGTCCTGCCATGAGCTGCTTATGTCACCAGGATGATCGCGATTGAGTTTTCCATGAAGTCAGATATTTTCACGAGTGGTCATTCAGTTCATTTTCATTAGTAGTTTATTGCTTTATTTATGTGCACAAAATGGACAATACCTGGAAACACATTTAAACATGATGTAGTTGCAAGTTATTAAAGTGATAGCTTTGATTCTTTTTCATCAGAAGGTAGTATGACTTTATGACATATTGTATTGTATATTGTGCACATAAACAGCATTTATTAGCCAGCATTTGGGTACCTTCATGAGTCACAAATTATTACATCAACAAGCATGTCCACCGCTATTTAGCACCCCTGGAAACATTTCCATTGTAGTTTGTGCTATTTGTAGCACCTTTCTGTATTTTGTTGTGCTTTCTGTATTTGCAGTATGTTTCTATATTTGGCTTTGGGCACTCAGCATTTTCTAAATGTGTTGTCAAATCCTAGGGGCTTGGTGGGTGTTGGCCAGGGTGTGTCTCTGACACCTGCTGTCAGTTGGAGACTGTTCAAAATAACAAAATACTAGTCGATGTTAACTTTGGAATAGTGGAAAAGTTTATTGTAATCAGGTTTCATTGTTGACTTTCCCCAGCACCTCTCCTACATCCTGTGTATATATACATAGAGATACACCTCATTTGCTGTTTTTTCCACGCTTGTCATGATGGAAAAGACTCCAGCTGTGGCTGGAGCTTTGCAAGGCCTTCAGTCTGGGCTTGAAGGTGTGTGAATGAACCAGGACTACATCTCATGTCACATAGCATTCATAATCAACCATGCTAGGAGTTCTGTGAAGTGCAGTGCTTTAAAGCTGTAACTTAAGGTAGCACTAACATGAAACTCCAAATTAATCCAGTCCCGCTCGGCCCAGCGCTCCTTCTCCCTGCTCCACTATGCTCTACTACAGTCTGCTACGCTCCGCCACGCTCTGTCCAGCTCTTCAGATATTTGTTGTTATGAAATTACATGAAATGAGAATGCAACTAAGCAGAAATAATTGAAATTCTCTGATTGGTTAGAGAGGTCAGTCCAAAACCTTTTAGAAGCTAATATCTCTGCACTGCTACCAGTGCTGTTCAGTGAGTCTGGGTCACAGAAGGCTTGCAACCTGTAGGTAGGTAGAAATTTTACACTGTATGGTGGATAATGGTATAATGGGACAGGAATTTTTGCAGGATTTGTGCTATTTCATACTTCTATTTTGCTACATTTTTGAGACAAATACTGTATCCTTTACTCCACTACATTTATTTTATAACTTTAGTCACTAGTTCCTTTCAGAATAGGATTAATAACAAAAATACAGCATAATCCTAAGACTTTATTTATCTCTGGTGGAAAATTCACAGTCTACCCAGCAGTACCTCACATTTATAAGCCAGTTAAAACTAGCTCCCCCTTTACCAGCTGCAACATTAAATATGATGTACAATATAATACATCAGTAATTATAATCCAATAATATGATATACATTAATGTTAAATTTGCCATTTTGCATAATGTGAGTACTTTTACTTTAAGTACTTCAAGTATATTTAGTGCTAATACTTTTTTTACTTAAGTAAAATTTGAATACTCTATTACTTGTAATAGAGTATTTTTACACTGGGGTATTGCTACTTTTACTTAAGTTAAGCATCTGAGTGCTTCTTCCACTACTTCCACTAGATATCTGTCCCAAATTTCATGGCAGTCCATCCAGTAATTGTTAAAATATTTCAGAAATCATGTCGAGCTACAGCTTTGACTGACAGGCTGACACAGTCATTCCTAGAGCCATGCAATTACCACGGCTTAAAATAGGTCTGTAATCACAGAGCAATCGTCCAGGAACCCCTTGAAATTCCTCTTTTCTGTTTTTATTTTTTATATCTTTTGTCCTGCTCACAGGGCTTGGTGATAGAACGAATCGGGAGGAAGCCCCTCCTCATATTTGGTTTCTCTGCCATGGCCGTGTTTTTCAGCCTGCTCACAGTGTTCCTCAATTTCCAGGTAAGCCATTCTTTGTCTTTGTCACTGACCTCATTAGGTGAAGAGGCATCACAATGCACACAGGTGCTCTGCACTGTGGCCCAAATATGGTGTGAACAGACCACCATTCAGATTCCCACTCTGAGAAAACAAGGTTATTATTCATGACCTGTACAAATTAGAGTCTCTCTGTCTCCAAACCATGAAATTAATACTATGACCTGATTAATGATGATCATATTATGAGTTTGCAAATCATTCACTACTTTGCTCAATAAGTGCTCAGTAGCACAATACAAAAGGACGTAATACTCTACAAATACATTGATTTAATTTCCTGCACATCCCAGGATATTGGCTGTTTAAACAAAAATGACAAAAGACAAGATCTAGCTCTTCCTTTCCTAATACTGTTTATTCACGCTAATTGCCCCTTCCTCTATTCTAGGACAGTGTGTCATGGATGCCCTATCTCAGTTTCGTCTGTATACTGGCTGTGATTGCATCCTTTTGCTCGGGGCCAGGTAAGACTACTGACCTACATTGCTGCCTGAGATGTTCTCCTTTTCTTTCATTCTCTTTGGTGGTTTCCCCCTTTCTCTTTTTCAGTTATTCCTGATTACTCTACTTCACTTCAGACTGTACTTAAAATAGATGGACTAAATACTCTGCACAGTTTGTCAGACTGCCTAATTCACACTTGGCTGTATTTCAGTAAAGTAGCTGTTAAATAATCAATGTGAGCGAACTGACCAAATCCAAACTAGCAAAGAGACGGGGGCTGGCTATGCAGTGCTTTTCAGATGACCTGACCAATCCAAATAATCAACTAGTGTGTCAGTAATGAGAGTCAAAGTTGAAGGTTCTGTCATACATTAACATACTAAATAGGAGCTGGACAGCACATATGCTATGGTACTGTAAATACACAGGGGACAGTGTGAGTGTGCAGAGTCGCCCCTGATGTGAATTTGACCTTTTGAGTTTCAAGATGAGGCTTGCTCTATCATTAACATTTACATTCCTTGTGAATAATTATGTCTCCAAGGAGCGTTCATTGCCTCATTGTATCAGGATGAGATAGGAACAGTGGAGCAGGAAAAAGTGTGGAAAAATGGGGACTCTCCACATTTTGCTGTGTGCTGTTTGTCAACCTAGAGATCATGTTCTTTAATAAAAAGAGGAAATAGAAGGGATAGGAAAGTGAAGCATCCACATATATACAACCACCAGCTGCATAGGGATGGGTTGACAAAACACAGGAGTTCGACAGGGAGACACCTGTTTATTTCTTGTGTGAAAGTGACAGTTCATATTCCTTTAATCACCCAGTCCAGCGTACAGTTCTCCAAAACAACAAGAACACATGCGCTAGTTAAATGTGCACACTCACAGCAGAATATTAAAAACACTCTCACGATAGGAGTGACACATTGATGGTTAATGTTGTTTCCTTTATTCACGACTGTTCCACAACCTTGACTGCATGTTTACTATTGATGACGATGGTCATGTAACCTTAAGGAAGCAGTTATTTTAACCCAAACCAGGATATTTTTCTAAGCCTAACCAAGTAGTTTTTGTGCCTAAACCTGATCAAACCATGACTGCTCCATAACGATGTGTTTATTATTGCTACCATGACAATGAATGTCCAGTACACCTGGCGCTATTATACTCCTATGGGTCATATTCAAGGTTAGTGACAAGAGATGTTGGGGTTGGGGGTTGGGGGTTGAAGGAATATTTCATACTTTGTCTCTTGTAAAATGTGTATGTTTAGTATGAAATATTTTATATTTTTGCCTGCAGCTGTGAATGTTCATCTACTTATGGTGAAGAAATGTGAATATCTGTGAAGAGATTAAATACTGACTGTATTATGTGAGATTAGTCATGTTGTGATAAAGATCTCAACTCTAGTAGGTGTATAACCTGCAATTTATTGACATGCTCGGTACTGTAAACAACTAGAACAATTCTATCAGTTATTTTACTAACTATTATTATACATAAATTTCTTACTAAGTGAAAAAGACAAGTGCTTTTTCTCTGTGACTAATAGTGATAGAACACTGTAACAGTGCTTGAGCTTTGGATACAGTGTATGTGTCATGTGTGCCATCAACATCTTGTGTTTGATGTTTGTGTGTCAGAGTTTGGTGAGTCTAAATCCTCTTGCTGTTTAGGACATGGGTTGTTTTGTAACTGACATACGGTTCACCTCCTCAAGCTGCAGTATATGAACCTTGTATGAATGTTAAATACAACACCTGATGTTTGAGCAGCAGCAGATAGAATGAAATATACTTCCATATGCATGGAAGTACAGGTTTATATATCTATTTCTTTAAACACTTGTAGACAACAAACTCTAAACAAAATCATCATCACAAAATTAAACTTGTCAAATACCCCTATTTGCTTAATCTGACGTTTAGAGCAAATAATTCGACAACATTTTGATAACTGATGATGTTTGCATGATACTCACATGGATAAATACACTGCCTGTGTACAAATGTACAGTATGAGTGTTGTGTGTGCAGTATGTATGAAAGTATGATGCTGTCTGTGCTCTGGCAACAAATTACCTGTACTATATCTTTTTATATTGCAGAGGCTGGTTTGCTGCTCTGTATACTGTGTTTGCCACTGTAGTTCACATATTGTGGCTATTACGCATAATGGTGTGTTCAGGCTTTGCTTTTATCAAGCTTAGTCCTGTGAAGCTGCACACTGAGATAAATTAATTAGATCAAGGTAATGAGTTGTTACCAGTTTTCCTGATAGCAGTGCTCCAGAACATCTAAAGGACAAATGGCTGATTTGGCATCCGTTTGAATTTTTTCACTTTGACTCAGGTCTCTCCTTTGAAGACACAATTTGTCGGCCATAGAGGTCTTTGGATTTGTGACTGGCGCTTTGTCACCTACTGACATGATTACAAGCTAGAGTGAAATAGGTTAGATTAAAATCTCAATGCTGAAAAGTGTAATTTATTGCGATGTGTTGCCCCCTGCAGCAGTAAGCGTTCTCCAGCAAAGACTGGGAAGTTGTTTTGGGTTGTGTGAAAGCTTGTTTATTGAAATCAACCACTGCAAAAATGGAAAAATGAACCAACCAGTGTTAGGTGTGATACCAGAGGACGTATTCAAACATTTAGAAAAATGTGGAGCTTCTACTGAGCTGCCTGTGTTTTGCGTGACCTTGGCAAGTAGAGAATAACAAGTATTGTGTAAAGAGCACTGTGCCAGACTTTGGATTTATTTGTTCTCCTAGTCACTTAAGTTGCAGTTTTACCTTCATTTTAACACTACTGTGTAAAGATGTGTGTATATTCACTACAAAGGAGTGTAGTGAATAAACACAGTTCTTTTTAAACACATCTCCCTATAATAATAGATGCCTTAATTGAAGATCCCTACACATTTTGAAATATTAGCCTCATTAAAACACTCGGCATCTCCAACTGTTGTATTTCCTTGTGCCACATCACTGTGATCCTTTTCACTGTATGCTGTGTTGAATTTGTCTTTATAGTCAATATAACAGTTATATTATAAGAAAATATTTTGCTCCAGCCTGATGAGCTCTGTGAAAAGCCTCTGTCCCTGATGGTAATACTTTATGATGCCTGATGCCAGACCTGGTGAATATGGGCAAAGCACTGAAATGGTAGAGCCATTATTATAATGAAGCAAACTAGCATGCTCATTCAGTTAATAGTGGTACAAATTGCAACAAAATGTAAGGCAACGTGGAAAATAGGCAACTTGAAAAAAATCCAGTCTAATGAAATATTTAATGAAACCAATAAGTCATGATTAATTAGTTTTTCAGTAGTAATTTTCCTTTGTGACAGAGGTTTTAAATTACAGACTGCAGTTTTTTGGGCTGCTTGCTAGTTGATGAGAAATGACATTGAATGTAACCCTTATAAAATCCAGCACAGCACATCTGTGGCAACTCTGCAACAACTTACTGCAGTGCGATAAAGTTCATCTGTCAAAGGGTCAAAAAAAGAAAAAAAATCTGTAAATATTAAAGTTATGTCTTTTCTACTGTGCTAGCCACACATTTTAGCAAGGGGATATTGGGACAAAAATGAGAGTATACTGCTGTTTGGGTCCATTGCCTGAAGCCAGATTTAATATAAGAAGTTATACTTAAAATAAATTTTTGTTTTTAGTTCCTTAAAAGATCAAATAATCCCAGCATTATTCTTCATGAAAATATTGTCAGTTTAATGTCTGCACATATTTAGATGCTTTTTTCTATTTGGAAAAGTTGTCTCACAATAGGTGTTCATTTATACAGTATAAAGGAGCACAATAAATCCTCTTAGTAATGTTCCAGCCAAACTCTGTAGTTTTCCAAAATACTCCGTTTGAACATTGGTGCTTCAATAAGAAAGATGGCATGACATCAGCATATAATATTAAAGCTGTATATTGTTGCATATGGATGGACAGAGAAGTAGATCAAGCTGCTGGAGTAGTGTATGTTTAGATGTATTTATACTCTTTTGCCAGGAAAAACCATTAAATTTCATTGTAATTAATGTGAAATTAAGTTAGCATGGTCAAAAATATTGGATTTAATCCTTTGGAACAAATCCTTTTGAGGCAGTGAAGACAGTCGGGCACATTTTGTACTGTAGCTCTTAATGAGACTTCTAGACTCGTCAGCTGATAGTTTAGCCAATTCTTCTTGAACAATCTGCTCCCATTCTGTCAAGTCTGATAGGTGCTTTCTCCCAACTCCCAAGTTTCAGCTCTTCCCATAGATCTTCAGTTGGATCAAGATCAGGAGTCATAGCATGCCAGAGTTTTGGTTTGTTTGCTTTTGTTTTCTCAGTGATCTTTGGCTGTGACTGAGACCAAGCTTTCTGACACTGGGCAGCACATTTAGCTCCAGAATGCCTTGTTAGTCTTGAGATTTCATTGCACCCTGCACAGATTCAGGGCATGCTGTAGCAGATGCAGCAGAGCAACCCCATAGTATGACTGAGTCCCCTCCATGTTTCACAGTGGGGATGATGTGGGCATGTTTTTGTTTTACTTTTTTTTATTCTGTGAACAAAAACCTGATGCGACTTATCAAAAAGCTTTCTTTTTGTTTCATCTGTTCAAAGGACATTCTCACCAGAAGCACTGTGGCTTGTCAACATGCGTTTAATTAACTCCAGTCAGTTTTTTATGTTTGTCTTTCAAAAATGGGCTTCCTGGGTCTTCTTCAATGGAGCCTTCTTTCAACCAGAAAGCAGCATATGGTACAACTGGACATGGCTCCGTGATTTTTTTTCCCCCCAGCCATTCAAACTTCTGTTCTAGCTGGGCTGTTTCCTGCTTGCAACCACGTCCAATGAGGTTGGATACAATCCCATGGGCATTAACACTTCTTATTAATATTAGCAACTGCATTTACAGGAACATCAAAGCTGCTTGGAGATGGTTATGTAGCCTTTACCTTGGCAATACTCAGCAATAATTTTCTTATCTCCTCAGACAAATCTCTCTTC